CTGAAGAATTTTAATTCATAAAAAGAATTAAATATTTTTAGAAAATTAGTTGTTAGAATTGTTTTATCATAATTTTTTAAGATTCAATTATTTTCGAACAAAGTAAATTAAAATTTTTTTTAAATTTACTTTTTCAAACTTATTACAGTTTTTGAGAATAATAATATTCATATTTATAATTAAAATTCTTCCAAAATTTGATTATTTTTTAATATTTTTCAAAAAATCAATTTCAAAAAGATTTTACTAAATCTCCCCAGAGAAATGGTTCATTTGAAGCGAATATAATTTATTTGAGTCAAATGAAAGTGTATTTATCACAGATATTTATTTTAAAAAAATAATATTTTATTTTCGCTAAGTATAATTTTTATTTAAAAACGAATAAAATTTAATTGAATCAAATAAATGAATTAGTAGATTTTGAGTCAAAAAATTCTTTTTTTTATAAATCAGAATTACTTTCATACGACTAAACGCATCCGCCATCAAACCGGAAGTCCCCTTGAAAATTGAAATTAGAACAAAAGTAGAATTCATTGATTTAAATTTTAATTCATTTATATTATAATTACAATATTGTTGGTACCTATCATTACATCAGAAATTATTACAATGACTTAAGCCAGATTAGAAAGAACTTTCACTCAAACCGTTTAATTATAAATACAAGATAAGAAACACGTGTAAAATAAAAATGTAAATTTATGAGGTGTTGGTTTCAAATGATAAATATAATTAACATAATAAAATTGAGAAAATATTATATTTATCTCGGAACCTACAATATTTTTTTATTTTTCAGATTGAATTTTATTCAATTTAAATAAAAATTTTATTTGCTCCGAAAAATTTCTCCCAATTATTTTACTTCCAGTAAATGAAATTTGTTTAAAACAATTAAAAGACAGAAACCAAATTTATTTCATTCAAATGATCAAGACAAGTGTCTTTTATCGAATTAATATTCACTTGAATCAGATAGTTTTTATTTAAATTAATTAAATTGTAATAGAACTAAAAAATTCTGTTTTTGTACAAAAAATTTTAGTATTTGAAGGAAATACCATTTAATTTACTTAAATAATAATTATTTGATACAAATACATATTTATTTGATAAATTTTAATAGACAACTAATTGTTATTTGAATCAAATAATTTTTTTTTCATTGAAAGTTTAATACGCTTTCGTAGGGAACAAAATATGTTTACTTAATTGAAACAAATGTTTATTCAACTCAAAATTGATTAAATTTAAAGTTTTATTAACTCAAATTTTAATTATCCTAAATTTTATTAAATTCAATTTTTTATAAACTTGCATTTTTATTTACTAAAATATTATTGTAATCAAATTTTGTTTACTCAAATTTTTCTTAATTTGAATTCTATTGAACTTATACTGTTTGTAATTCAAATTTTTATTCGCTGAATGTTTATTGAACTCAAAATTTATTAAATTCTAATTTTTATTAACTCAAATTTTAATTAATTTTAAATTTTATTATAAATTCAAGTTTTAATAAACTTGCATTTTTATTTACTTAAATATTATTGTACTCAAATTTTTCTGTATTAAATTTTTCTTAATTTGAATTCTATTGAATTTAAGCTTCTTGGAATTCAAATTTTTATTAGCTCAAAGTTTATTGAACTCAAAGGATTATTAACTCAAATTCCTATTAACTTAAATTTGTTTGAAAATGTTTTTTTTAACAAAAAACTCAAAGTTTTACTGAAGTGGAATTTTTATAAACTCAACATTTATTTTCTTAAATTATTTTTTAACTTATAACTTTATTAAATTAAATGTATAACTAACTCAAATTTTTATTAACTTAAATTTTTTGTAAACTCAACTTTATATTAACTTTTGAATTTCTATTAACGTACATTTTATTGAACTCAAATTTTTATTTCACAAAAACTTCTAGTTTTATTGAACTGTAATTTTTGTTAAGCGAAATTTTTATTGACTGGAATTCTACTAAACTTAAATTTTTATTAGCACAAATTTTATAGAACTTAAATTTTTATTGAACATAAATTTTTATTTCAAAAAAACTTCTAAATTTGTTGAACTGAAAAATTTTTTTGTTAAGTCAAATTTTTATTAACTTGAATATTCTATTCAACTTCAATTTTTATTAGCTCATATTTTTTGGAACTCAAATTTCTATTAAACTCAAATTTTCATTGAACTCAAATAAAAATTTTATCTGGTTGAAATAAAGATATTATTTTGTCCTAAATAAAATTTTTATTTATAACAAAGTAAACAATTTAGTATTATTTGTGATAAAAAAATGTTTTATTTATATTGACTCAAGTAAATTATATTTGCTTTAAATGAAATATTTTCCTAAGTGCAGTTCAAGAAAAAAATAAATATTATATAACAAAAAAGGTATAAAAATTGAATTATGAAGTGATTCTTCGATTAATGACTTTTCAAGTAGCGTTTATAATTAAAATTTCTCGCAATTAATTACACCACTTGAACAAAAGAAAATAATATTATACAAATCAATTAAGTAAACGCAGTGAGTGAGATGTGTGCGTGACAAGAGAATGATAAAAGGAATGCATTATTCGAGTAATTAGGGGTCACACGATGTTTAAGATAAATTTCTCGTAAACATTGTTTCAAGTCCTTAATTAACACATACAATGATTGGCGAGCGGGGGAAAGGGAGGGGGGAAGAGGAAAGGCTTCTTATATATATATATACGTTATCGGATTATCTCTCGCGAGAGGTGCACTAGCGTTGAGTAGCAAGCTCTCGCACATCCGAAGAGAAAATAGTATAATGACGACATATGCAAAATAGCCGTTGATTACCTTGCGAAATAATTCGTTTGGTATACAAAGTAATTAGTTCAAGGTTATCAAACACCGTTGCTTCCATGAAAAAAGACGTTTTCAGAGGCAATTTTCTTTTTACGCGAGCTATAAAAAGTCGAATGTAAAAGTGATTAATGGCAAAAAGTAATTGTAATTCTCTTTTTTGGTGTCTTTTATTTTTATTAATTTAATTATATACCTATTTTATAGATTAATGACTGAGATTTTTGTTTTTGTAAATTTTTTTTTATAAAATTAAACATAGTCAGGGTAGGACCACCTTTTAAACTTTGAACTTAAAAAAAAAATAAATTTAGGCAATTGAGTTATATTTTCTCTAAATTTGAATTAGTTAAAATGTTTACTAATTTGAATTAGTGACTGATTTATTGCTTTCGAATTAGTAAATTTTACTACTAAATTAGTAGAAATTTCTATTTATTAGTAATTTTTATTATTAGTAAAATTTATACTAATAAATAGTAATTTCTACTATTAAATTTTACTACTAAATTAGTAGCAATTACTATTTATTAGTTAAATTTACTAATTCAAAAGCTTTTTGCTTGTCAGTCACTAATTCAAATTAGTAAAAATTTTTATTCATTTTTCTAATATTTTACTAATTTATTTAGTAATTTTAAATTTTTTACTAGTTTTATTGGAAAGTTATTAAAAATCAATTTTTACTAATTTAAATTTAGAGAATATTGTTTTTGAAAAAATTTATTAAATCTAATGAATAATAATATATTTCATGTAAATATTTATTTGATAATAGAAATAAATTAACAAATAATAATAATAATAAATAAAAAAAACAATAGAAACAATTATCATTTGATAATAAATTTAGTTGATTAAAATAATTTTTGTTTAATGTTCACATTTTTTTATTGTCGAAACAGCAGAATAGAAATAACTTCGTCACGGCTTTAATAGAAAATAGAAATTATGTGTAAAGGAAAAATTTTATAAATTTGATGAAGTTTTAAATTTTAAATTCGATCAGTTTTTAAATTTCTATTGTGTCAATTGTATATTTAATTAATTAAAATTTCTAAAAACGTGCCCACTGATATTAATCGAAATTGCATAAAAAAGAAAGTTAGCTTCTAATTACCATTTGTTTCAAATGGACTTCTGAAAGGATTGTGAGAGATAAAAATGTAATTACAAAATCATTTAAATAAAAGTAGCGTGAAACTCTTTCATAATTCTTTATTAGAAATGTTAGAATTTAACCCTTTTGATTATAAATTGTTTTTTAGTGTGAATAATTTTACAAATAATTTTCTTATGCAAATAATTGTTTATTTGCAAATAATTTTTTTTAAAATAATTTTTTAAATAATTATTTTTATTTTATAATTAATTCAAAATTGTAATGACAAATAGAAATCATTAAAAATTTTTTCACTTCTTTTCATTAAAAGAATAAAATTTTGTTGAATATTATCTCTTTTCAAATTGAAATTATGCAGATTTTTGTTCTTTACTTCTAAACAAAATTAGAAAATTGTTAAACAACTGTAATTAAGAAATAGAAAATTTATTTATTTTGCATTACTTTTGTTTATGAACCACAATTTTTTTAACAAAATTATTATTTTGTTTTAGAAAAAGAAGAAAAATATTTGCACAATTCTTATTTTTGATCTTATTTTTGAAACAGGATTTTAATGTGAGAATATTATAATTAATAATATTAATAAATTAATAAATTATTATAATAATATTTTTTAAATGATTGAATTCTTTTTGGGAAATTTTATTAAAATATTAGATATTGAAAATCATTGAAATTAGAAAATTTTTTGAAATAATTGAAATTAGGACAAGAATTTTTTTGACATTTATGAAAATAATTGAACTTCGGAGAAGAATTTTTATCTTTTACAAATATTTGATTGTAACAAAATGCAAATGATTATTTATTTTTTTTCACAAACAAATAGTAACAAATAATAATTTTTCTCAAGCAAATAATTATTTATTTCTTACGAATATTTATTTATTTGCAACAATTATTATTTTTGTCAATTAAATGATATTTGTTCGAAATAAAAAAGATCATCGTTTTTAATACAGTTTATTTTGCTGAGAAAATTATTTACTGAAAATAAATATTTATTTTGATGACAGTCAGGTAATTGTCTACTTGAATTATAAACATTTTCTTTATTTTCGGTATAGTAATCTTGTAATCTAAAAAATCTTTTAAAATAATAATTGAAAATAAAAAGAAAAATTATTTCTCAATCATTTTCTTTCTCACCTTCTCGATAAATATATGGAGTGGTAAAATATTAGTTTTGAAGAAAAAAAGAAAGACGAGAATGGGGAGGGGATCGAGTTAGTGTGGAAAGGGAAGCGCACGTTTTCGCGATTTATTTTCGTGGCCATAGCCATGAAAATATATATATTGGATTTCAACATTTACCGAACAATAAATAAGAGCGATATCGCATCGTGTCGAGACAGATTTATTGAGTCTTCTTTAAGTTCAACAGTGGGTTGCACTGATCATGGGTCGGTACTTGTCGCAAGTTCCGGGCAGTAAGGTGCACCAATTACGTACGCCATGACTATCAGCGAAAACACGATTCCCAATCCGATCAGCATTTGCGTGTTCCTGCGAATATAATAATGCACAGTGCTAAATTATGCGACTGATAAGCTCAGGATGCTGGGGTTCAAAGGTCAAAATCGGCTTTCTCTCTCTCTCTCTCTCTCTCTCTTTCTCACTCACTCTCTGATTAACTATTTCATGCTTGAATTATTGTGCTCCCATCTCTCCCGCGCGCGAATGAAATTTATTTCCTTCAACATGTTTTTTTCTTACGGGAATTGTAGGAACGACTTTATTTCTTCTTGATTCGCGTATTTTTTTAAATTTGTTATCGAAATATTTATGAGAGGAAAAAGAATTAATTTTAAATGTAGTTGAATGGAACTTTTCGAAATTTTTAGGGTTATACACTAAAAAAAATATATATTTGACTCAGATGACATCTGCTGGATTTTTTATTTATTTCAAATAAATTTTTAGGGATCACAATTAATTCCCTTTTTTTCCTCTTTTCTCCTCTTTTTTGCCCTTAAAACAATAAAATCACCTAAAATCAAAAATTTTCTTCCCTTTTCCGCTTAGTTTTAAGAAAAACTTGTCAAAATTGTCATTCTTTATAAGTTAGAAAATTTTTTAGTTATGTTTGAAGAAAAATTCTTACTTTTCGCAAACTTTGGAAAAATTTTATTATTTTGAAACTTAAAAGCCTTTATTTTATATTATTTCTCAGTCTTTAAACTTAGAAATTTTTTCATAAAAGGTAACAAATATAAAATAACTTTTACTTCTAAGAAAACTCCAAATTGATTGGAATTTTTAACAACTTGTATTAATTTCTGAATAAATTTTACTAAATTCAAATTATGTTTTACTAATTTTCAATAAAATTTCCTACGGATATTATAAAATTTACTCTTGAATTAACGATTTTTAACAGCGAAATTTACTATGTATTTTCAATGTCAATTTTTTTATAAAAATTATTCAAATTTTCCTCGAACATTACAATGAGCTATTAATTATTTTTATTTTTAGAGAAAATTTTACCATTTTTGAAATAATTTTCTAATTTTTATAAAAAAAATTGTCTTTGAAAATACCGAAAATAGTAAAAAAGTTATTCTGGAAATAACAATTTTTAATATTAAATTTTACTACTTTTGAAGAAAATTTTTCCAAGTCTAAAGTTAATTTTACTAATTTTTTTCTGAAATTTACTTCGTATAGGTATCGTAAAATTCATGTAATTTTAAAACAAAAGTAACGTTAGAATAAAAATTTTGATTAGAAATTTAAAGAAAGTTACGGACTATGGAAAAATATAAAATAATACCAATAATTATCAAAAAAAGTTTAACAAAGAAAAAATAAAATAAATAAAATAAAATTCTCTTTATTTTAAACTGAACTCCCTTTTTGAAAAATAAAATCCCCTTTTTTATCTATAATATTACATAGATAAAATCACTGTGATCCCTGAAATTTTACTAATTTTATTCAATTTTATATATGCAACTGAGACAAGTATACTTTTATTTAAGTCAAATAAATTATATTTGGTTAACATAAAATTTTTCTCTGCCCAATGGGAAGTAAACGATTGGTTCAATAATGGGCCATGCTTGGCGAACTCCGTTCCATTATTGGAACATTAATGGCAACCATCATTGGACCACCAATGGTTTAAACTTGGGATGATCACGCTACTGCCAATGATCGGTAGCCAAGCATCGGGCCATTATTAGTTGCCAAGGAATTGCCAAGGATACAAAATCGATTTTCAAAAGCTTGATTTTTTATTGGCAGCCAACAAAAAACCAAGGTTTTGAAAATTGATTTTTCTTAATTATTAATTAAAATTTATTTTTAAAAAATATATTTTTCAAAAATTTATTTAAAAAAAACATATTTTTTAAAAATATATATTTTTTTAAATTAATAGAACATATTAATTTAATTTGTCACCTCTGGTAAAACAAAGATGAAAGACTGATAAATTCCCTCACTTTATATTTTACAGTGGAGGGATAACTGTGAATGTCTTTGCGAGAGAGGAGCAGGTACTTATATAGAGCCAGTGAAACAGGTCACAAGCGAGAAGGAATCACTAGCATGCACTCTGGCGGCGCTTGTCGGAACTGTTTTCTGGCGCGCATGCATATCCTGACATTATCGACACAGCGCTTGGCAACCAACGTTGCGCCACTTCCGACAAGCGCCGCCAGAGTGCATGCTAGTGATTTCTTCTCGCTTGTGACCTTTCTCACTGGCTCTATATAAGTACCTGCTTCTCTCTCGCAAAGACATTCACAGTCATCCCTCCACTGTAAAATATAAAGTGAGGGAATTTATCAGTCTTTCATCTTTGTTTTACCAGAGGTGACAAATTAAATTAATATGTTCTATTAATTTAAAAAAATATATATTTTTTTTAAATAAATTTTTGAAAAATATATTTTTTAAAAATAAATTTTAATTAATAATTAAAAAAAATCAATTTTCAAAACCTTGGTTTTTTGTTGGCTGCCAATAAAAAATCAAGCTTTTGAAAATCGATTTTGTTTCCTTGGCAATTCCTTGGCAACTAATATTGGCCCGATGCTTGGCTACCGATCATTGGCAGTAGCGTGATCATCCCAAGTTTAAACCATTGGTGGTCCAATGATGGTTGCCAATTGTTTTGCCAAGAAAAAACCATTGGGTACCAAGCATGGCCCATTATTGAACCAATCGTTAACATTGGCAACTTCCCGTTGGGTGGGTTTAATTGTTCGGGAGAAGAAAAGTAAAAGATATTAAAATTTTTATGCTATTTTAATTTTAATGGATAATGGGTAAAATATTTAAAAATGGTTCTTACTTTTTAGATTTTATTAGTGTGATATATAATCCTTGAAGTAATGTTTGATTAATCCATAGGCAAGATTTAATTACATAAAGGGCCAAAATTATCGAATAGAACATGAGTAATCTGCTAATTACTTGAGTTTTCTTAGTATAATTTCCGGCTGTTTTTTTTAGAAAATATGTTCGTAAAAGATGGTTGTATTGTGTAATTTTTATTTAACTTATTCGGTATTTTTTATTTTTTATTTATATATCAATTTATTTATAATTCTTTTGTTCAATTAGCATTTATATTCTTTATTATTATTAATATTATTGTTATTATTAATTATTATCAATATTAATAATCATATGTAATATAAAAATAGTATATTTTATTAATTGAAATTTTTATTAACGTAAATTTTATTGAACTGAAATATATTTTAAAACAAATTTTAATTAACTCGAATTTTTATTAACTTAAATTTTTTTATAACTTAAACTTTATTAAATTCTAATTTTTATTTGCTCAAATTTCATTCAAGTCATATTTTTTTTAACTGAAATTTTTATTTACACTCAGAAAAATTATATCTGACTTAGAGCCGACTAAATTATTTATTTAGTTCTTTCAAACAAATTATATTTGGTTTAAATATAAATTTAAAAATAATAGCAATTATTATTATTTTGTAATAAAAGGCCGGTTTCGATAAAAATTAAATAGCAATTATTATTATCATGTTATTATTATTTATTATTTTCATTTTAGAATTAGTTATAAGTATATAATTCATTTAACGAGTTAGTTATTTTGATTAGTTAACGATGAAAAGAGAAATTTTTATAGAAAATCAAAATTATCATAGATTGTAGAGCTAATTTATTTTCGAGAAACGAAAAATAGAAAATAAGAAAAGTTTCTGTAAAAATATCAAAAGGAAATTCGTTTACTTGTTGCAATCCAGGATTTCTTTACATCATGAATAACATAATTGGCTTCATAACAAGCTTCTTTGTACCATATGCAAATTAAGTCATACAATTTTCTACTCATCTCAGGAATACTCATTTCTTCAAAATCTAAATCTAGATTGAAACAATTATAATTTATGTTAATGAAAATTATTTTTCTGGAAAAAAAAATTGTAACTGTAGTTTGAAAAAAGGGAATTTTTCAGCTTTTTTTTCACTATACTTACAGGTGTCATTTTTCCCAGGCTTGTTATTTATTCTTAGTAACTGTAATTTGCTCGGTAGTATGTAAGCATTCGAACTGAAAAGAAGAAAATGTTCTTTTTACAATTAATTTGAAATTTTAGTTTTAATGAATTCTGATGAATTTGATTTTTATTCTTCATCTAAATTATTCAGCGAACGGATTCTTTACCATTTTCATACAATTTAAATCTGACAAGTTTGAAATTAGTGTATTTTTTAATTAGAAAATTTGGTTTAGGTAAAGAGAGGTAAATATTTATATTTCAATTAGTTTAAAATTTTTTGTTGCGCATTAGTTTGAAATTAATTTTGTTACTCATCGTGTGTACATATTTACTAATTTTTGGTAATCTATCAAACAGTGGAAAAAAATTATAAAGCCTTAAAAAATAGAATCCATTCGGAGAATGTTTTTAATTAAATTAATTTTAGTGTCAGTAGTAAAAGTAAGTAACAGACAGACACTAGTTTTTCATAATTGTTTTCCTCAATAGAATAGAATTCAATTAATTTAGGATAGCATTTCAAGCAAATTTCGAAATTTCACAATGATTTAATTACTATCACTAATAACATCATTTTTCATGGAAATTCAATTATTTAAAAACATTTTTCATAAAATTCTAAGCAAGAATTCAATTATTTTCATAAATAATAAAACTCATCGAAGAATTTTAATTATTTTGAATTCTATTTTAAATTAATTAATAGAAAAATTCAATTATTTACACAAATAAAATTTTCCACAAGAATTTAATTATTTGAAATAAAATTTTCACAATTTATATATTTCCAAAAAATTAATTATTTAAGACAATGTTTATAAAATTCTTATGAAGAATTCAATTATTTTTAAAAATAACAAATTTTTTCCCAGAAATTCAATTTCTTTTAAACATTTTAATATCATTTTTCGCAATAATTCAATTCTTTTCATAAATAGTAAAACTCTTTACAGAATTTTAATTAAAAAAAAAAAAAATTAATAAAATTCGTTACAAGAATTCAATTATTTTCATAAATAATAAAATTCATCTCAGGTTTTCAATTACTTTTTAATACAAATTTTACAGGAATTGCTCGAAAAATATAATTATTCCTAAAAATTTAATTTCAATTCCTCGTAAAAATCAATTATTTACAAAAATATTAGAATTTTTCACAGGAATTCAATTATTTTCAAATATTTTAATAAAATTGTTCGAAAGAAATTAATTATTTTAAATACAATTTTAATTCAATTTTTTTGAAATAATTCTATTATTCGTTTAGATTTTAATAAAATTCTTTCCAAGAATTTAATTATTTACATAAATAATTCTTCGAAAGAATTTACTTATGTCGATCAATAACAAAATTTTTCTCGAAAATTCAATTATTTTGAGGTATTTTAATAAAATTCTTTGCAAAGATCAATTATTTCCATAAATAATAATTTTCATCATAAGAATTTAATTGTTTTTAAATTATTTTAAAAAATTTTAATAAAATCGTTCGCAAGAATTAAATTATTTTCATAAATAATAAAATGCTTTTTAGGCAATTACTTTGAAAAAAATTTAATAAAATGCCACACAGACATTCAATTATTCTTAAAAATTTTAATAGAATTCTTTGCAAAATTTTTGAAAACTTAATTTTTAAAAACTTTTTCCAATTCAATGATTTTCAATATATGAATATTTTCATAAAATTTTCAAACTGAATTCAATTATTTAAAAAATTTTTTGTAAAAATCTTCCTAAGAATTTAATTCTTTTCATGAATAATAAAAATTTCTCAGAAATTCAATTATTTAACAGCATGTGACTGTTACAGAAATCAATGTTAATTTTTTCGACCACTTTTCTCTCAAAATATTAAATAAATTAAGCTAGTTTTTTGTGAATAACTCAAAAATATAATAAAAAAGAGCAGTGATGTGCAAAAGTTTTAATAATTCTAAAATAAATTATAAAAAATACTTTGAAATCGTAAAAGACGAGAAATTGATTAAAAGTGATTTTGAGAACTGATAATTTTAAAGTTATTTTTTAATAAATAATTTTAAAAATATTAAAACTTTTTTACATCACTGCCCTTCTTTATGATATTTTAGAGTTATTCACAAAAAACTAGCTTAATTTTTTTAATATTTTAAGAGAAAAGTGGTCGAAAAAATTAACATTGAATTCTGTAACAATCACATGTTGTTAAATTAGAATTTGCATAAAATTAGTCGAATGAAATGAATTATTTAAAAATTTTTTATAAAACTCTTCGCAAGAATTAAATTATGTTTATAAATATTTAAACTCTTTCATGAATAATAAATTTTGTTGCAGGAATTCAATTTATTCGCAGGATAAGAAAGAAGTAAATATTTTTTATTATAATTAGGAAAAAGTCAGGAAAATAAAATATAGAATCGAATTTTTGTCAGTTTTGTAAAATTTTTAATAAAAACCATTTTTATTAGTATTAGTAGTAAATATCCGTTAGTGTCAGACAAAATAGTTTTCTACTGGGTAATTTTTGTGTTAGTAGTAAAAGTCTTTTAAGTACAGACTTCTTTTATTTTCTTTTCAAAAATTCTGGACAATTCGATTCACTGAGACAGTTCTTAATTTCATGTAGTTTTAATGTCAGTAATGAAAGGAAATCGTAGTCAGACATTTAAAACTTTTGTAATTGTGTTGTCAATAGGCAGACAGTTTCTAACAAACAATTATCAAATCTGACAATTTTGACAATAGTTTAACTCTTTTTTTTAATCAGTAGTAATGGTCGATGACAGACAGACAGACAGACAGACAGACAGAAGGTTGAATTTCAATTAATTTTGGAGAAAGTAGGAACACAAAGTTTTAGTCATATTTTTTATTCTTTTGGAAATTTTTTAGAAGTAGGTAATCATCAAGTTTGAATTTTAAAAATAATTTATATTTCTTCTAATTGTATGAATCAGTAGTATAGACAGATTACAGTCAGACATAAAGTTCAATTTGATTGATTTTGGAGAAAGTAGTTAAAGATAGTCACAGTCAGCATTTTTACATTTTTCGATTTTTTTCTAGTATTTCTAAGAAAATAGTTTTTAAAAAGGTATTTTTTTAAATGTGTAATTTATCTTCAAGTTGAAAGAATATTGTTTCATTAAAAAAACTGATTTCCGCATAAAATTTCATTTTTTTTTTCTAGTCGACTTTAATTTTTACCATTTTGCCGTGATTGATATATAATTTATTAAAACAATTAAAAGAAAACTCGTCGGCAAAATGAAATAGCTGAGGAAATTGGAATGCAGCCAATTTTGAATGTGACTAATTTCAAAAAGGTGGCACGATGAAGAAAACTTCATCAAAGTTTGAAATGAACATGCTTAACCGTGTGAGTATACATACCTATTTGTTTCAATGTCTCGGACTGGAAAAACATCATCTGTTTCCTCAGCTTGAGTTGCACGACGAGAATCTCTCAGAGACATAATCGGCACCTTGGCACACGGACCACCGTGGGTGTTGGACAGGAAATGCAGTCTGTTCACAGGAGCCACCTGAAATGAGTTGGTAATTAAAAATAAACAGCTCCATGTGTACAATGTAATTAGCAAATAATTACTTTTTCTCTAAATCTGAATTAGTTAAAAATAACTAATTTTCAGTAAAATTTGGGCTTTTTCAGGGTTGTAATTGGTTAGGGAAGTCAGGGAAAGTAGAATTGGTCAGAAAAATCGGGGAAAAGTTAGGGATTTTTATTAAAAGTACTGGAAAAAATTAAATTTTTAGAATTTATAAAAAAATTCGGATTTTAGTGTTTTTTTGGTTGTCTCATAAACTATGTATGAAATTACCACGAATTCTAATACAAAACCTTCAATTTTTTCTATTTTTGAAAATGATTTCTTTTTAAGGAACTTAATTCTTGAAGGACTACCATAAAATTATTCGGTACTTAGAAATTATTTAATGAATAATTTGATTAAATATTTCAAAATTAATTCAATTTTAAAAGAGTTGCACTAACAATTTTCATAAATTAATCAACTTCAAAAGGTCTCAATTTAAAATTTTACAAAATTTCAATTTTCAATGAATTTAGTTAGAAATTTAAAAAAATGCATACTTTTGTAAAATTTTAATAATTCAAATTCTTTTGAAATAAGTTATATTTTTCAATATACATTTAATTAATTATTAAAAATAAATTGGAGAAATTCAATTATTTTCAAAAGTAACAAAATTCTTCACAGAAATTCAATTATGTTTAGAAATTTAAAAAGATTCTCGTAAAAATTTCAATTATCTTTACAAATAATGAAATTCTTCTCAAAAATTCAATTATTTTCAAAAACCTTTAAAAAAGTTCTCGTTAAAATTTTAATTATCTTTATAAATATAATAAAATTTTTCTCAGAAATTAAATTATGTTCAAAATTTTTTTAAAATTCTCGTCAAAATTTCAATAATCTATATAAATAATAAAATTCTTCTTGCAAATTCAATTATTTTCAAAAACTTTAATAAAATTCTTCGTAAAATTTTAATTATTTTCAAAAATTTTCTTCAGTTCAATGATTTTCAATATCTATACTATTTTAATAAAATTTTTCAAAAACCAAAAGAATTCAATTATTTAAAAAAAAAAAATTAATAAAATTTTGCGTAATCATTTAATTATTTCCATAAATAAATAATTAATTACATTAGAAAAAAATTACAAAAGAAAATAATTACATTATCAAATAATTATTTTGTGAGTTGTTTTTTGTAATTTACTAATTTACACCAGTAAATAATTACGTTACTAAATAATTACATTAGTAAATAATTACAAAAGTATATAATTACATTGGTAAATAATTATTTTTCATTATTTTTTTTCAATTTACTAATTTACATTAGTAAACAATTACAGCAACAAATGAAAATTATGCAGAAAATTGTGTTAAAACGTTTTCTTAAATTTTACAAATTAATTGATAAAATTGAAAGAAAAAATTTGATTGATTCTTTCCTTCCTCTAGAAGGAAGGTACTTTATAAATAGATTACTTAACCCTGTCGATAAAACGGAAGGGGTTAATTGAAGAACGTACCTTTTTTCGACCTGAAATGACCCCCGGAATGTCATTACCTGATCTTCAGGGGACCAGAAAACGATTTTGCGCATCGAATCGAAAGCGTTTACCACGCAAACACGCTCGATTTAATTCTCCCTTAGACTCTTCTTCATCTTCTTCTTCTTTGTTTCAACTACTAACTTGCAAATTTTTCCAATCTTCAACTTTACTTTTTATCACGAGATACCTGTCAAATTGTGTATTGAGTCATCTGAAGTTAGTTTTTTCTACTGCAAATTAAAATTGTTTTCTATTGTTTCCAATCCTTTTTGGATTGATATTCTTTCTTCTAAATTAACGTTTATGAAATTTGCGACGTTTTTGATCAATAATTTGAAGGAAAACATGTTTTCTGATGCAAATTTTTATCTCGAAATGTGTTTTTGGTTTCGTGATCTATAATTTTTGGTAGAAAATAAATAAAACCTTTTTTTGTTATCTGAGAAAAAAAAATATATTTTTTTCACCGTTGATTGTAAATAATATTTTTTTCTGCGAAATTTTGTTCAGAACAATTTTTTTTCAAGTTTTTTGTTCAATATTTTTTAATAGAATTAGAACTTATTTTTTGTTTGGTCTAAGAAAACTGAAAAAATTTACCAACTAAAAATATTGCATTTGCTTTCTGCGCTTTTCCATTACTAACTTGTTTTATTTTCATGATCAATAATTTTTAATAGAAAGTCAATGAAACATTTTTTGGGTATCGGAAAAATTTTGGTTTAAATAACTTTTTCTTTTTAAATTTCTTGATCAATATTTTTTAATTGAAAACAAAAAATTCTTGATCAACAAATTTTATTTAGGAAAAATTTTTAAGCAAAAAACTTTTCTCGTTGTCTGCTTGAAGAAAAATATTTTCCCCCAGTGGTTGATTATGGACAAATTGAAAGAGAAAATATTTTCTAAAGTAAATTTTTATGTCAAAAATTTCTTTTGTTTCTTAATTAACAATTTTGAATGTAGGAAAATTTTTTAAAATAGTTTTTTGTTGCCTTCTGCTTTAAAATTGTTTTTATTTCTTAATTGTTTATAATAGAGAGAAAATATATTTTGCCGACAATTTTCATTTTAAAATTATTTTTTAGTTTCATGATCAATAATCTTTAATCTAAAAAAAATTGCAGACACAAATTTGTATTGTTTTGTTTATGAAGAATATATAAATTTTGTGTACAACGTTGATTTTCTAAAAGTTTCAAAATTTCATCCAAGTTAATTGTATCAAAAAAATTTTTTTCGTTTTGAATTGAAGATTTTCGAAATAAAGATAGTTTCCTGTGTATAGATAAAAATGTTCCGCTATTTTTTCTCCAGTTCGTGGCTTTTCTATTTAAAGATATCGTTATTAATGTTATAACATTGATTCGAAAATAATGGTAGTTAGATGGATCATGCAATCTATATCCCACGGATTGCAGTTTCCCATCATCAGAACTTCTTCAAGATCGGACACAGGAAACAGCAGTTAAATTGAGTAGCCGAAGATGAGCCGCATGAGTGGTCGGAGATGGACTTTGTGGCGTCTCTTTTAACATTGTTACAAGCAATTGGCCACGAACAGAAATCCTTTTCTTCAAATATCAAATATATCCTTGAAATCAAACAATTTTTTACATCAATTTTTTTTTCGTATTCAAGGACAAATTATTTTCATTGGTTGTTTTTTCCTTCGTTTTTTTAAACTTTATTCCTTCTATATTCCTTCGATACTTGGATATTTCTTATAGGTTCTGATTTGTAATACACAACGTTTTTATTATTTTTTGTGTAAAATATTTATTTTTTAGCGAAACAATTGAATTTTTTTATTGTTTTTTAATTCCAAATTCATTGTAATTTTCGCATGGGACAAACATACAATGACTATAGTAGTAAAGAAACTACTGGGAAATAAAGAATTATATTTAATTGAATTTAAAAAATTAACTAATTGAAATAATAGGCTCATTAAACTAATTAATTCACAATTGTAATTATAATTATTACAATCAGTTATTTTTAACTGATTTAAATTTAGAGAGTACTTACTACCTTTGATAGTAAGAATTTTTATTAACATACTGTTAGAAAAGATTTTACTATTTTGTTTTACTATCTTGTGTAGTGGTAAGAATTTGGGTTAGTTATATAAAAATTTTTATCAATGTAAAGAAAATAGTGCAATTTTTGCTAACAGTTAGTAAAAATTCTTACTATCAAACAACATAGTAAAATTTCGGCCATGAAATAGTAAAATTATTAGGAAAATTAGTTAGCAAAATTATTGTTATAAATTATTATAAATTTCAACCAGTTTACTAATTATAATTAATTACATTAAATAATTAAAGTAATAATTAACTTTAATTATTTTTACCAACAGGGCTCGAAGTAGGTCCGTAAATCTTGAAAAAGTCCGTAACTTTGCTTCAAGTCCGTAAAAGTCCGTTTTTTTTTTAAAAAATTCAATTATGTTCAAAAATTTTGTTTCCTAAATTCTCGTCAAAATTTCAATTATCTTTAGAAATATTAAAATTCTTCTCAGAAATTCAATTATTTTCAAAAAATCTTAAAAACATTGTCAACATTTCAATTATCTTTATAAATAAATAGCAAAATTCTTCGACAAAATTAAATTATTTTCAAAAATTTTAATAAAATTCATTAAAAAATTTTAATTATTTTCATAATTAACAATATTTATCACACGAATTCAATTATTTTTTAAAGTAATAATATTCAATTATTTTCAAAAATTTGAATAAAATCCATTGCAAAATTTTAATTATTTTCAAAAGTAATAAAATTCTTTTTAGGAGAATTTAATTATTTTCAATAGAATTTTAATCGAATTCCTCGAAAAAATTCTTAAAATTTTTATTAAAATTCGTCCAAAGAATTTAATTATTTAAAAATTTGTTGATAAAATTTGTAAGAGGAATTGAATTTCAAGAAACATTATTCAATTCATCAATAAATTATTTATTTTTGTATTTAAATAATTGAATTCTAATAGAATTTTCTCATAAATATTGATTTAAAAATAGATTTCAGTTAAAATCTTAGATTATAATAATTGAATTCTTGGGAATAATTTCATTAAAATTTTAAAAATAATTGAATTTTATCGAGACATTTTTTTAAAAATTGTTTTAAAAATAATTAAATTTCTACAAAAAAAAAAGTTTTATCAAAACTTTTTAAAATGTTTGAATTTCTGCTAAAATTCTGATAATTTTGAAAATAATGGAATTCTTGCGAAGAATATTATTAAAACTTTTGAAAATAATTGAATCTCTTGATTCTCTTGAATCTCTTTTTATTATTTTACGAAAATATTTAAATTCTTGCGAAAAATTTTATTAAAATTTCAGAAAGTAATTGAAGATCTGCTAAGAATTTTGTTCTTTTTAATTTATGCCAATAATTTTATTAAAATTTTTTAAAATAATT